TCCTTGTGCCTGTCGATTGTGAAATGTGTGGTTTAGGCTACACAGCAGGGGTGAATCTGGAGAAGGGTCAAAAAAACACCCCGTTTGGAGGCCCTAATTGGAGACCAACCATCTTTTCGTACGAATTCAGGACACACGTTAAAAACAGCCAGCCTTGTGGACATCATCTTGAACTAACCCACACACACACACACACACAGAGGCACGGATGCACTTTTCCAGCAAATGCCTCTGATTCAGGAGGTTTCACACACACACACGCACACACCAAGCTATAGCTGTAGCCATTATGTCAAGCTACGGCATGTTTATCCATGTTTTGTTGAATAAACCACAATTGCCCAGGTTAACACTCTACACCAAACCCATAAACTTTGATTTTAAAGACACAGGGGCTCCATTCTCCTGGTAACCTAAGCCAGAACCGAATCAAATCACCTTATCACTCATCAAGTTACTTGAAGCAGATCCTGGTTTTGTGGAAGAGACGATTAAAGTTTCCACTAAGTGCTTTAATGTAGAGATTACGGCAGAGACCATCAACCTTTTGGGCACCAGGGACCGGTTCCGTGGGGAGAGGTTTTTCCACGGACCGGAGAGTGTGTGGTTTTGTGTGCTGCCTGCATTCCACGGATGGGGCTTGGCTTGTTTGTGCGGCCCGGTTGCTGGCATGCCGTGGACTGGTACCGGTCCACGGTCCAGGGCTTGGGGACCACTGGATTACGGTGCTGCTTTAGGAATGTAAAGAAAGAATTTATCCGTGGCGCGTTGGCGATAACTTTTCAATTTGATTCCCACAGCCAAACTTTGCCCATGGCTTAGCCTCTCTGCAAATCCCACACGGGGCAACTGTGAAACGCATGTACATCTACAGCGGAAACAGCCTACAGGATACGAAGTAGGTCCCTTCCACGTGGTGGAAAATATGCCCGGATTATTTGTGAACGTTGCTTTTTCGTGAATATAGGTAGTCCTCGATTTACAACAGTTCCTTTAGTGACCATCCGAAGTTACAAAGGCACTGAAACATGTGAATTATTGCATTAGTCTTTATTGAAGTTAGTCTTTCACCGAGATGTGTTTCATCTTCTGTTTTGTGCTTAAACTCTTTTTTAAAAAACCTTTGTTCAGTTCAGGAAACTCTTTCAGTTTCCAGGCTGAAAAATCTGCACATTCACAGATTGATTTCTTGGCATGCAAACCATCTCTCAAAATTCTGCCTTTTTTTTCTTCTCCTAAATGAATGGCCTCTGGGGATACAGTGATTATCCAGAATAAAATAATAGGGCTTTTGGCTTTTATTTGTTGGCAAGCTTCAAAATATGGTTTATCAATTCAGCCATTCTTTAGCAGAGGCTTCCCCTTTTCTTGTGTTGGACTACAGTTCCCATCATTCTCCAGTCAGCTTCTGGAGTTGGATTTGCCCTTCCAGTGTGGTGTCTAATTTGAGTTAGGAAGATTGGGGTATGGAACCTTCAGGAGTGTATCACATTTTAAATTATCGACATTAATTTATGCTTTTAGGGCACCTATGATGCCACTCAGCTGTTTCCTTGGAAACGTGTACGCAGAATACGTTGATGTTTTGCGAGATGCCGCTGGACCCTCAGGTTTACGACTGCGATTACTCACTGCAGGTAGGTCCAGTTCTGCTCACCACAATATAAAAAAGATGCTGAGACCCTAGAAAGAGTGCAGAGAAGAGCAACAAAGATGATCAGGGGACTGGAGGCTAAAACATATAAAGAACGGTTGCTGGAATTGGGCATGTCTAGTTTAATGAAGAGAAGGATGAAGGGAGACATGATAGCAGTGTTCCAGTATCTCAGAGGCTGCCCCAAAGAAGAGGGAGTCAAGCTATTCTCCAAAGCACCTGAAGGCAGAACGAGAAGCTTATCAAAGAGAGATCCAGCATAGAACTAAGGAGAAATATCTTACCTTTAAGAACAATTAATCAGTGGAATGGTTTTCCTTCAGAAGTTCTGAGTGCTCCATCACTGGATGTTTTCAAGGAGAGACTGCATAGCCATTTGTCTGGAGTTGTATAGGGTTTCCTGCTTGAGCATGGGGCTGGACTAGAGGACCCCCCCAAGCTCCCTTCCAGCCCTATGAGTCTATATTCAATGTTCTAATTCCAGGTTAAAATATTTGTTCTTGGTTTTCCTGTCAAAGACACTCTCGTTCACATAATTTTATTTTCTAAGGCAATTGGGATCCGTGCAGGTGCTTTGGAATTATTCTGCAGTTCTCACATCTTCCTTTCTCTTTTATTTCTCCTGTGTAGGTTGCGGTCCTGGTGTGTTAGCCGATGCCAAAATACGGGTATCTGAGCGTTGTGTGTATTTCGGTGATTCGTGCCAAGATGTTCTGAGCACTTTGGGGTCCCCTCACAAGGTTTTCTACAAATCTGAAGATAAGGTTAGGCGAAATCCACGCAGATCCTTTTTATAGGCAGCCTGCAAAGACCTTCACTCTGGTCTTTCTTGATGTTAGATAAATTACAGGTGATCCTCAATTGACGACCACAATTGAGCCCAAAAGTGTGAAAAATGGTCATAAGTCACTTTTTTCAGTGCTTTTTTCGAACTATTCTAACTCAAGGACCACCTGTGTTCTGTTTAGTTTTCATTAATTTTCCCTGCTTGTATTTATCCGCGAAATATTTTTAATGTCATTTTAATGTATTGAGCGTTGTGGGGGTTTTAATTGTGAACTTACGCCTATACCGAAAGTGGCATATGGGTGGATGTGGTTTCCCACTAAATACAGGGAAGTAGTCCTTGACTTAACAATTATAATTGAGCCAACATTTCTGTCGCTCAGATAGGCCCCATTGTACAACCTTTTTGCCACTGTTGTTAAGTGAATCACTGCAGCTGTTAAGTTGTTAACATGGCTGGCCGAGGGATTCTGGGAGTTGAAGTCCACTAGTCGTAAAGTGATCATGGTTGGAGACCCCTGCCGTGCAGGGTTGAATCCGTTCCTGATTTCTCCCGTACAGGTTATGTAATCCATTCAGAGCTTAAGGCTCCCCTTTTCCAATAAGTGCCAGCCACTGCTAAGTTTGAAAATGAAGCTGTGTTTTTTTTTTCCTTATTTTTTGCAAACAGATGAAAATCCATTCCCCTTCGCCTCACAAGCAAGTTCCTTCAAAGTGCAATGATTTTTTCTTCAACTACTTCACGCTTGGAGTGGTGAGTTAAAGATGGGGTTAGTACGCGCCACTAAACCATGTTTGTTTATTATTATTATTACTTTAATTTATACCCCGCCCTTCTCCCGAAGGACTCAGGGCGGCTTACAGGCAAATAAAAAACGAAACTATACAATAAATATCTAAAAACAATTAAAATATATATTAAATTAGCCTGTTATTTTTAGAAAAGTTATAAAATCCCTATTAAAATCCCTATACAATCCCCCCCCTAGGCCAATCC